AATTCCACGACCTCTTTTACTTGTAAGGCTTCTTTTTATTTCAAGCTATATGCTTTATTCTTAGTCAGTGGCTCAATAGATTTTTAAACTAGAAAAGAAAACAAACAACAAAACCCACAGAAGATTACAGGATGTGAAGAAAAAGTGAGAAACCTAAGAAAGGTAGAGAGATAAACTAAAGTGAAGGTGGGGAAAGAGAGTTGGGACAGACCTGGTTTATACATGATATGATTTGGCTCATGTGCCCCACCCAAATCTCATGTTAAATTGTAATCCCCACATGTGAGTGGAGGAACCCATTGGGACGTGAAGAATGGCATAGCTATGAATCTCCTAGCCTGTTTTGTTCTATTTTGATCCTGGGGGCAGATTTCCCCTTTGCTGTTCTTATGATAGTGAGTGTGTTCTCGCAAGATCGGACGGTTTGAAAGTGTCCATTTCCCCCTTTTCTCTCTCTCTTTCTCTCTCCTGCTCTGCCATGGTAAGATACGCCTGCTTCCCCTTCACCTTCATCCATGATTATAATTCCTGAGGCCTCCCATTTATGCTTCTGATTAGGTCTGTAGTACTGTGAGTTAATTAAATCTCTTTTCTTCATAAATTACCCAGTCTCAGGAAGTTTTTTACAGCAGTGTGAGAACGAACCAATACAATACACAAGCATTTTTATAGTCTTCAGGCTCCCACTTCAGAACATCTACAGGCACATATTCCCTGCTTTTCTCTAAAATCGCGCTATAATCTGATACATTTTCCACCACTCTCATTCCCCGCTGCTTCTCCCAATTTGGAGCTGAGTTTCTAGCAGATGAAATCACATAAATAATTAAATATTTTTAACTATTAGCAACTTCATTTATTTATGCAACTGTGTCAGGCTCTGTAATGGCCACTGAAAATTTCACTGTGAACAAATCAGAAATATAATTCAAGCCATGTATGTAATTTTAAATTTTCTAAAAGACACATCTTAAAAAGATAAAACAAAATGGGTGAAAATAATTTTAATTACATATTTTATTTATCGCAATATATCCAAATTTTAACATTTTGACATTTAATCAATATTTTAAAACATTAATGGGACATTTTACTTTTTTCAAATCAAGTCTTAAAAATCTAGTGTTTATTTTACACTTATAGCACATGAGTTCGATTACCGACATTTCAGATGCTCAATAGCCACATGTGGCTAGTGCCTATCAAAAGACACATAATGTCTTGTTGCCTTTTTTTATGGAATTAAATTAGTCAGTGAATTCAGATATAGTCAACTTGATCTTTAATCAGCCATTTATTATCATTGCCTGAATCCATTATTTCATTAGGGTTTGCCAAATGGTGCTATTCTATTATTCCCTCCACATTTATTAGCTGGAATTTTTCTACAAAAAGAATTTTACCACATTAAATCTTTAAGTACCCAGAGGTACAGTTCTTATATAAAAGACAAAATAAATATGACTCTTCCCTTTTATTTACCAGTTTTCAGAATGAGTCGATTTCCTAGCATCCCTGAAAGATGACCTTTTTTTGGTACTATCATCAGCACATAGATTTTAATATACCCGATGTGTTTTAATCTATTGTAATTATTATTATTTTTGATGTTCAATTTGTTCCAAATATGTCCAGTGAGAGTTCTTTCCAGCTGGACGCTGTGTCGCTTTGACATAACCCAAGTGGTCATCAGTAGCTTTCCTATCTATTAGCATGAAAGATAAACCTGGTTTGTATTATATATATTTCCTGCCTCAGACCTGGAATTAGCCATTTTGGCAAGCCCCAGTGGAAAATGGCATTTAGAGACTACAATCTAGAGGAGAAAAAGCAAAACAAAACAAAATAAACTTTTTTTTCCAAGATGAAGTCTTACTCTGTCACCCAAGCTGGAATGCAGTGGTGTGATCCTGGTTCACTGTAATCTCTGCCTCCTGGGTTCAAGCAATTCTCCTGCGTCAGCCTCCCAGGTAGCTGAGATAACTGGCACACACCACCATGCTCGGCTAATTTTTGTATTCTTAGTAAAGACTGGGTTTCACCATGTTGGCCAGGCTAATCTCGAACTCCTGACCCTGTTATCTGCCTACCTCAGTCTCCCAAAGTGCTGGAATTACAGGCATGAGCCACTGCACCCAGCCTCAAATAAAACAATTTTTTTTTTTTTTTTTTTTTTTGAGACAGAGTTTCGCTCTTGTTACCCAGGCTGGAGTGCAACGGCGCAATCTCGGCTCACCGCAACCTCCGCCTCTTGGCTTCAGGCAATTCTCCTGCCTCCGCCTCCTGAATAGCTGGGATTACAGGCACGCGCCACCATGCCCAGCTAATTTTTTGTATTTTTAGTAGAGACGGAGTTTCACCATATTGACCAAGATGGTCTCGATCTCTTTACCTCGTGATCCACCCGCCTCGGCCTCCCAAAGTGCTGGGATTACAGGCTTGAGCCACCGTGCCCGGCCAAATAAAACAATTTTTAAGGGATACGTCAGGAAGGCAGGGAGAAGACCTGTCAATAAAGAGGAGAAGGGACATCCTAAAAAACTGGAGAAAAACCTAGAGAGCAGGTGATGTCAATGAAATGAGGAGAAAAGGATATTTTAGAACAAGGAAAAAGTGAGCTACAACAAATTCCACTGAGGTGTCAATGCAGATACTATGTTAGGGAGACACAGAGCTCAGTGTTTTAGACCTTTTCTCCTCTGTGTTTACACTCACTCCTAAGTAATCTAACCATTCTTTTGGTTTTAAGTATCATCTTCTGACTCATGGCTTACAAATGTATATATAAGTATCCCTGACTCTCCCTTGAACTCTTGACTTGAGTTCATCTCTATTTGGGTACCTAGCAAGCATCTTGAGCTGGACACATCTAAAATTTGGACTCTTGAGTTCCATGTCTAATCCCAACTCTGCTTCTACCCTGGAATTCCTTATCTTAGTAAATGATACAATCATTCCCTGAGTTTCTCAAGCCAAAAACTTGGAAAAACTGGTTCCTCTTTCTCTTATCAGCAAATTCTGTAAAAATTCTGCAAATCCCTCATATTTCTCTACTCTCCAGTCCAATGCACCATCCTCTCCACATGTACCACTGCACCAGCAAGTTCCCTAAACAACAAGCAGCATATCATTTCTAAAATGTAACAACTCAGATGATCTCCCTCCCTTACTCAGAAACATCCAAATGTATCCCATTGCCCAGAGAATCCAAAGTCCTGAGCTTTCAGTTTGAACAAGATAAAGTAAACACATTTCATTCATCCTATTCCTCCCACTACTCACAAAACAAACCAGCCCTGGGCAATATTCATAACATAAGTGAAAGAAGACAAAACTGGAGAAAAGAAAGCAGACTGGTTAGGGACCCCAGGACTTGAAGAATGGCATGGGTATAAATCTCCGTTTGTTTTGTTCTGTTTTGTTTGCCTCCTGTATATCCTAGTCTTGGAAAGGAACACAACCTAAAACACCAGCAAGAACACACACACACACATGCATGCACACACATACACAAATCCCAAAAGGACAAAAAGCCCTATCCAAAGGATGAAGGAAAAAGGAAGCCCAGCAGGACATAAACATTTCAACCATACCTGCCCTATTCCAGGTGAACACCAAGAGAAAAGCAACCTTACACCTTTCCTTCCTCACCACATGCTGCAGCCTGGAGACTGTGGACAGAGCCTTATCTTCTACCTCTGCCATACAATAATGAAATGGTGTTACTCCTCCTTCCAAAGAAAGAAAGGAGCTATTGAAATCTTGAGAAGACTTCTTAGAAGCCTATGCATGTAACCCCAGAAACAACATAGCAAAAGGTTTGAAAATTGAACACTCTTCTGAAACACTGCCCAGAATTCAAGTTGGTCTCTGGGAAGCACACAACTAGGGCAGACCAGAATAACACTGCAAAGGCTTTAAAATCTAAATTGAATTTGAATTACAGCCCACAAAAGTAGGCTAAGATGTATATTCTTTATATAAACAGGTTGAATTATTGCGAAAATAGAAGATTTAAATAGAAACCAGAGTCTTATACTTAGTATTCATAATGCTCAGGATACAATATAAAATTACCCATTATGGCAAAAACCATGAAAATCTCAATTTGAATGAGAAAAAGCAATCAAAAGACACCTACACTGAGAAAACACAGATGTTGAAATTATCTGACAAGTTTTGAAAAAGCCATCTTAAAATGTTTCACCGAGTGTTTTTGAATTCTCTTAAAACAAATGAAGAAACACAAAGTCTCAGCAAAGAAACAGAAGATATCAGGAAGACCTAAATGGAAATTTTAGAACTGAAAAATACTGAGAATGAAATTGAATACTCGCCTCATTGACTGAAGAGCAAATGTATGACAGAGTTAAAAATCAGTGAATTTGAAGGTACATTGATAAAAATTATTCAATCTGAAAACAGGGAAAAAATATTTTTCAAAAAATGAACAGAGCCTCAAAAACCTACTGAATGATAACAAAAAATACAATGTTTGTGCCATCTGATTTCCAGAAGGAGAGAAGAAAGAGTACAGAGCTGAAAAAAAATTTGTAGAAATAATAGCTAAAATCCTCCTAAATTCAACAAAAGACATAAACCGCAGATTCAAGAAGTTGAGCAAATCTCTAACACAATAAAATAAAATTTAAAAACCCAGGCTCAAATACATTATAATCAGATTTTTGAAAATTAAACACTAAGAAAAAAATCTTACAAGCAGTCAAAGAAAAATATTTCTTTACCTATACTAGAAAAATTCTTAGAATAACAAAGGATTTCTCATTAGAAACCATGGGGAAATGGCACAAATTTTTTTCATGAGGAAATAAAAGAAGTATCAATCCATAATTCTATATCTAGTTAAAATTTTCTTCATGAAGATGAAATAAAGGCATTCTCAGAGTAAGGAAAATGAAGAATTTTTCACTAGCAGAACTGCTCTAAAAAAAATGGCTAAAGGAAGTTTATCAAGCAGAAAGAAAATTCGAAGTCCTCACCATGATGAGTCAGTATCTGGTGTCTTGCCTTCATCTCTCCTGGTGGCATCTGGGTAATGGCATAATACCTGAAACCACAGCAACCATATTATAGCAATGAGGGTCTAAGCCTGCAACCAAAACCAAAATCCTGAGAATGAAAGAGCTTAAAAAAGAACAAAGGGATTCCTGATTGCACCATTATTATCAGTGAATGAAGCAACTATGAATCTAACTTTGGTTTTCTTTTTATGTGATATAATAGATTTCTTAATGTTTAAGCTTTTTCAGTTGAGGGTTATTGTCACAGCTGAAATTACCCCCAACTGATATGGGATTTGGAATTTATTTTACTTTGTAGGAGTCTTTCTGGAGAAAATTAATTTAAATATATAGAAAATTTATTTACAGGCTGGACACGGTGGCTCATTCCCTATAATCCCAGCTCCTTAGGAGGCTGAGACAGGCAGATCACCTGGGTTCAGGAGTTCGAGACCAGCCTGGCCAATATGGTACAATGCTGTCTCTACTGAAAATACAAAAATTAGCTGAGAGTGATGGCAGGCACCTGTAATCCCAACTTCTTTGGAGGCTGAAGCAGGAGAATCACTTGACCAGGAGGCACAGGTTGCAGTGAGTCAAGATCATGCCACTGCACTCCAGCCTGCATGACAGAGCAAGACTCCATCTCAAAAAAACACTACAGAAGAAAATGTATTTACAAAGATGTTTGTTACAGCATTATCACAATTATATTTACAACAGTGGAATAGAAACATATGAGCATGGCTGAACACCATGGCTCACACCTGTAATCCCAATGCTACAGAAGGCCAAAGCAGGCAGATCACCTGAGGTCAAGAGTTCAAGACTAGCCTGGCCAACGTGGTGAAACCCCATCTCTACAAAAATACAAAAATTAGCAAGGCATGGTGGTATGTGCCCATAATCCCAGCTACTTGAGAGGCTGAGGTCAGAGATCACTTGAAACAAAGAGGCAGATGTTCAGTGAGCTGAGATCACGTTATTGCACTCCAGCCTTGGTGACAGAGTGAGACTTTGTCTCCGGAAAAAAAAATATAAGCATAGGGGAATATCCAAATGATTACTGTTATGCGGCCATTAAATTTGTAATTGTGAAAATCTTAATCGAATATGATAATGTTAGATAAAATAAACATATAACCATTTAAAGTCTGATAGGAGATACACTAAAATGTTGCCTTACAGATGAGTAATGGGATTATACATGTTTTCTTTTTTATACTTTTTTGTATTTACTTAATTAGCTACAGTTGGCATGTATGATTTTTATAAAAATTAAAAATATGCTTAAAGCATATACAAGACTATAATTGTGAAGAGCAGTAAACATGAAAAATATTTCAGTAATATTAGTAAGTTAAAAACATGAAATTTTACTAACAGTGCATGTGTACTGAAATCTATATACCAAAATAAATGCACCTTTTCTGTTAAGGTAGCGAGATTGTGTATGTGTGTGTGTGTGTGTGTGTGTGTGTGTGTGTGTGTAAAGCATTGCCTTTACAATGAATACTAATAAAATAGCCTAATCCAAGTTTTTCTTCCTTCTTTGTGAAACTTTTCCTAACCTTTCTCAACAGAGTGAATTGCTTTCTATATTAGTATTGTGTTCTTTACTTATTATTATAGTTTGTACTAATTCCAACACAATTAATGCCACAAACAGTGAAAGTAAATACATTTTAATATCTAATTTGATTAAAAAGTAATTAATACCACCCAAAGATATGAATGGATCTTTAACGCATATTGCTAAGTAAAAGAAGTCAGTCTGAAAAGCCTACAGACAGCATGATTCCATTTAGATGACACTATGGGAAAAGCAAAACTATAGAAATGATTAATAGATCAATAGTTCTCAGGGATTTGGGGCTATGAGGAAAGTTTATTAGGCGAAAACCAGGAAATTTTTTTTAGAGTAGTGATACTATTGTGATGGTAAGCACAGGATATTATGCATTGTCAAAACCAGTGGAACTTTAGATCACAAAGAATGAACTATAATATATGCAAATTTAAAAAATCATTTAAAGGAATGCAGGCTCTGACAAAATAATCAAATCATATTACAAATGTATTAAACAACTTCACTGAAGGGAGTGGAAGAAAAAGTTGCTCACCAAATTAACTTTGGAGTCTGTAACACTAAAGGCAAAAGGAACTATATGCAAGCACTTTACTCTAGTTGATAAAGTAGTTTAAACCATTATATATGTATACTGCAATTCAAACATTAAACAAACTGGTGGCAAATAGTAGAAGCCAGATTTCTCACTGCTGAAGTGAGAAATTACAGATAAGCAAAGGGAGAAGGCTAAGATGATCCATAAAGAGTGGATGAAAATTAAAAACATTAGTTTAAATTTTCATTTAGCTTAATATAGACACAGATTGGATATACACAGAAATATTCATAGGTATGTGTATTAATAAAGGTTAGCATATATGCATATATTTCCTTGCTGTTTCAGGTGAGAGGGCTTAAAAGCAATGACATCCCAGCAGTGATGAGCATACCTAGTGTGCAGATCTTCGTTTCTAATACCGTTTCCAATAAAAGGAACCAAAGCTCCTTGGGGGAATGGTTGATCCTAGAACTTAGGAAATAAATAAAATGAACCTGGAGCATCTTGCAGTTCTGGAATGTAAAATGTTTTACACACACACACTCACATACACACACACTAACGGGACTGTGTCAGAGGGACACAGGAGCCAAATGAAAGAGCTTAGTGGCCAAAGCTGGAACAATTTGAGCAACAAAATTAAGTACTATTGAATTATAATACCATACTGATATAAATTATTAAAACTTATTGAATAAATAAATAAATGGAAGAATAAATTTTGAGAAAACATTTCAAATAACATATGTAAATACTCCACCCTCAAGACATGGTACATAATTCCTCACTCTTTAAGTGTAGAGTATACATGGTGTCTGTCTTGCAAATAATACAATACCGAAAGGTGAAGAAAAGCTTAACTTTACAGTGAAGAAACCTGACAAATACTACCCTAGCCAACTAATTAACAGTGATAGGTCATGTTAATAATATGTATCCTTAATATGATGTGATGAGAAGGGCTCTTTACCTCTGTGGTCTTCTTTCCCAAAACCCATACCCACAGACTAATAGTGAGAGAAACATCAGAACAAACCCAACTGAGGCACATGCCACAAAATACCTGACCAGTACTTTTCAAAAATGTCAAAGTCTTCAAAACAAGAAAAGTCTGAAAACCTGTCACAGCCAAGAAGATTTTAAGAAAACATTATGATTAAATGTAATATGGTGTCCTAGAGGGTTCCTAGAACAGATAAAGGACATAAGGTTAAAACCAGGAAAATCTAACCAAGGTATAGACTTTAGTTAATAATAACATGTCATAATTGGTTCATTAATTTTGACTAATAGGCCAAATAAATCTAAAATGTTAATAATAGGGGAAATTGTGTGTGGAGTATATGGGAACTCTCAGTACTACTGTCCCAATTTTTCTATAAATCTATGACCATTCTAAAATCTAAAGTTTATTTTAAAAAGTAATTAGCAATTTCAGCCAAATACTCTGTCCATGAGACAGGCAGGAAGATGTAGATGGAAAACTTCTGAACTCATAGTTAACACCAAGATCTTATTTCAAGGATTCTGCTTGTCATAAAGAACACTCAGCTACAGATTGTGACTGAGCCACAAAGCAGCCGCATAGCTTTGGGATCTGGATCAGTACCCTTAATCTAAAAATGAGGAGTTGAATAGATGATCTCCAAGGCCCAGACCTAAAATTCCAGCATTTTTATCAGAGCTCAATTCAAGATCTGTTTCACTACCTACCTACATTTTAGCAAAAGCCTCTTGACCTCTGGTAATCTCAGTTTTGTAGGCATTAAACTCAGAAGACTAAAATAAATAATCTTTAAAGGCACATTCAGTTCTACAAATCTTCAGCAACCACGTGTCACTGTTTCTGTCAACTTTAGTTCACTTTAGCAACCTGAGCCACCTCATAACACTACCAAATATTTCAGGCCGTAATTTAGACTGAAGCCTCCCTGAGGACATAGAGCAGTTTCATTTCACTCACAGTGGTATCCCAAAGGCCTAGGAAAGTGCTTGGCATTTAATAGACACTGAATTACTATTTGTGCAATACACAATGAATATTTAATTTTAATCATGCTTGCACTAAAGAGGAAACAGAAAACTACAGCTCCCAAAAAGACACCCAGAAGGAAAAGCCAAGAGGGTATGTCCATGAAACCAAAGAGCCTTACAATAATAACAATATCATTCTGCTGAAAAATCATAATCATTTTGGAAACTGGCTCTTTACGAAGCAGGGTTATTAATAAGGTTATAAATTCCTTATCACTTTCTTACTCAGGCAGAAAAACGGAGAGAAAATATTCAGAAGAAAAACACAACATACAAAGCCCCATCTGTAGTCATAAAGACTACCAGTTGTGTCTGCACAAACTTTACCAGAGGATTATACAATGAATAAAGTAATATTTTCCACATGAAAAGCATAGGCTGTTAGGAAGATACCAGACATATAGCTTAGTTGTGGATTTGAGAGCAAACAAGACAATGGGGAAAGTGATACATTAAGTTTAGGATAGTAAAAAATCATGAAAAGAGAGCAGGAAAGAAGGGAAAGAAATATTTATGTTTTACTATTAGTATTTCACTAAATCTATTTTAGACTTTGACCTCTAGCAGTGTTCTTGGTGCAAGCTTTAGCCCAGCCTTTTACATCAGAATGGCAAGGATGACAGAAAAATAAAGATTCCTGAACACCACTCCTGACCTACTGAATCTGAATCACAGGGGAAGAGGCCTGGCAATCTGAATTCTTAATACGCTCCTCAGTAATCTTACGTACAACTGTGCAGAACTGCTGCTATAGTGAGTTGTGATAATCTCTCTAGGAGAAGACATGCTTGTTTACACAAGGCACATAACTCTCTCAGATGATCAGGATCTCATTCAGCATCCTGAAAGTGATAAATACTCAAACATTTTCTGTAATTTTAGGA